GCTGTGTGCCATGTGCTACACACTCTGCACGTGTGTTGTGTGCCGTGTTCTGTGCTGTTGGCATGCTCCATATGTGTGTGCCATGTGCATTGTCATGTGTCACATGCTGCGTGCCTTGTCATGTTTCGTGTGCCCTGTGCCGTTTGTCATGTGCCATGTTCCATGTGCCATTTGTCATGTTCCATGTTCCATGTTCCATGTGCCATGTGCCATGTTCTGTGTGCAGTTTGTCGTGTGCCTGTGTCACGTTCCATGTTCCCTGTGCCCTGTACCATGTTCCATGTTCCCTGTGCCATGTTCCATGTTCCTTGTGCCATGTTCCATGTTCCCTGTGCCATGTTTCATGTTCCTTGTGCCATGTTCCATGTTCCCTGTGCCATGTGCCATGTTCTATGTGCCCTGTGCCGTGTTCCATGTTCCCTGTACCGTGTTCCATGTTCCCTAGTGCCGTGTGCCATTTGTCATGTGCCGTGTGCCATATGGCGTGCATCACGCCGTGCCACGTGCATGTGCGGGCACAGTGCCACGCTGCTGCCATGTGCCSTGCTCCGACGCTGCCAGCCCGGTGCCAGCAGATGCTCCTGGCAAGCTGACATCCCCAGGGGCAGGGTGTGCCCAAGGCCACCACAGGGACAGAAACGGGCCTGCCACCGGGGCGGGGGCCACCCGGGAGCAGCCACCGTGCAGGCGCCACCGAGCCGGGTCCCAGGATGCTGCCGCCACCCCGGGAGCGGGCACAGGTGCCAGGCTGTCCCCGTGCGGGCGGTCACTCACCGGCACGGCTCTGCTGGCCCTCGGCACTGCTGGCAGCGCGGGGCACGGGCSGGGCACGGTACCCRCACCCCCTGCAGCATCTMTCCACAGCTCCGGATGGAGCTCCGTGAGGAGGGATCGGAGATGCTGCCATGGAAACAAACCCCAACCTGCCGGTCCCGGAGCTGCCCTGGCACCCCGAGCCAGGGGTGGGGACAGAGGGGAGCCCAGGGCGGGACCCCACGGGGCTGGGGGTGCACAGAGACCCCGCTCTGGGCCGAACCCACCCGCGGTACAGAGCGACTGGGCTGACAAGGCTGGCAGAGGGGGCAGGACACTGGTGCCACTGTCCCACAGCGCCGCGGACCCCAAGGAGGGTGTCACCACCTCCCCCCTCCCAKCCAAGCCTGGCCAGGGGTCCTGGTGGTGCCAGGGCCAAGCCCCCACCCTGCTCACCCTGCAGGGACAGGCTAATGAGGGCAGTTAATTATTGACGGAGCCTTCCCGGCTGGCTCCAGGAGCAATTCCTTGGAGCGCGGCAGGAGAGGGGCCGGGCACCCCGAGCTGCTGGGGCGGGGCTGGGACAATCCCTGGGTGCGAACCCCCCTCCCGGAGGGCAGATGGGCGTGGGGAGCATCCAACCCGGATTTTGGGGCGGGGAGCGCTGGAAGGGGATCCAGGGAAGGCACTCCAAGGGTGGAGCGCCCTGGGTCGCGCTGAAGGAGCCAACTCCGTGTCACCTGCTGTGACCGCCCGGAGCCTGGCAGCCGCCACGGCCCGTGCTGCCCGGCCGGTCATTGCCCCCAGCCGCCGATAAGGTCCCCGGGGATGGGTCCCCCGCCCCGATAAGCTCCCGATAACAGCGGCGCTTCCCGCTGCCGGCGCCGCTTCCCGCCTCACGCCCGTGGGAATAGCTGCCTGCCCGGGAACAGCAATAAATATTTATTTCCTCAGGGCGGGATGGGCGGAAAGGGGGGTCACGGCCAGGCGCCCCGGGCGGGGGGAGCAAGGCCATAGGGTGGCCACAATGCACGGCCGGAAAAGGGCCCCGTCCCCAGGGGAATGGGATGGGGCCGTGGCCCCGCTGCGGATCCCGAGCCCCACGGCGACCSCCGGCGCTGGGGTGACACATGGGGTGGGTTGTGGGGTCCCCCTGCGGGCTGTCCCCTCTGCAGCGGCTCTCAGCAAGCGGGGTCTCAGTGTCCCCCCCGAGCCCGGGTCCCTCAGGCCATGGGCCATTGCGAGGGCAGCTCCGTGTCCCCCATCTCCTCCTGGTAGCGGCGGTTGAAGAGGGCGTTTTGCTCTGGGGAGAAGTGACCGCGCCAGTCCCCCACCACGCCTGTGGGACAGAGGGGATGTGGAATCAGAGATGCTGCACTGCACCCCGCCGTGCCCCCCGCGCCCCTCAGCCCCGCTCCCCCTCACCTTTGCGCATGAAGCGGCCCTGGCTGTGGTCCATGATCTCGGCGGGGATGAGGGTGTAGTTGGCCATGGCGTTGTCCCGCATGGCGGAGAAGCTGCAGTGCTGCTCCAGAGCTGCCAGCGTCCCCGGGGCCAGCGGGCAGCCCAGGAAGGTGCTGAGGCGCTGCGCTGTGCCCCGCAGGTCCTGGGGCAGGGGCACGGTCAGCACCGGGCACAGCAGGGACAGGGACGGGGACAGGGACAGGGTGGGGACAGTGCAGGGCTCACCTGGTGCAGCTCCTCGTAGGTGACATAAAGGATGTCCAGGAGGTGCCGCTGGCCCAGCCAGCCCTTGACGTGGTCAAACCAGGAGCCGTAGTGCACTGAGGAGAGTTGGGGGGTGAAGAGGGCCCTAAAGCTGAGTCCCCCCAGCTCCTGACAGCCCTCAGCCCTCACCTGTGCCCTCGAGGAACTGYGTCAGGAAGGCGTCAAAGGAGCTGGGGTCGGGCAGGAACTTGGCCAGGCGGTGAAAGTGGTAGAAGGAGACAGCGACATCCTTGGGGTTCCTGGCCACGTAGATCACCTGGGGGAGGGAACACGGTGTCACCCCCT